GCAGGATAGAGCAGGGTTTAGGGCTGTTGTGCATAGGGTCGCTATGAGTCGAAAACGACTCGACGGCACATAACAACAACAACAACAACCCTCAAATTGGATCTGACAGGTACAGGAGGAGATTGTCTCTCCTTCTCCAGCAGAGCATCTGGAGGATTCAAACGGCATATCTCTGGGATTATAGTGCAGCTTCTTGCCAAGGACCCAGATCTTGATGGGGCTGCCTTGGCTTTTGGGTTTTTTTTAATTGATTTGCTTACAAAGTTCAGTATACACTGTTTCACACTGTTCTTCTTTCACACTGTTTCATACATATTTTGAGGCAAGTTTTCTGGCTTTCTTTTTCTTCCCACTTTCAAGCGCTCATTTTCATGGCAAACCCTTGGGTTTTCCTTCTCGAATGGGCTACCTCACACAGTTCCTGTTTTTACAGGCATAGGTGGCACGTGTCTTCTGCCATGTGTCACTTTAGTACAGATGAACAAAGCAGACCAGTTGCACTTGACGGCAGATGACGCATAGCCGCCATCTGTCTGTCAGCAACCGTAAATCACTGGTGCTTTTGTAAGATGCATCCCGAATGCAGAGATGCTAAAATGTGTCTTAGAATAGATAAAATACAGTGCATAAATATACTGTGACTTATTTCTTAAAATATTTAAGACGGGATTTGGTTGTGAAAGAAAATAAACCAACCTTCATCTATCACAGATGAGGCAATTTAAATGCAGTTAAGAGCTTGGGTGCTAACCAAAGGTCAGCAGTTCAAACTACTAGTTGTTTTCCAAGAGAAAGATGTGGCAGTATGCTTTTGCAAAGACTGTTGTTGTCTGTGCCATTAAGTCAGAATCCTCCCATAGCTGACCCTCCCATGGGTTTTCAGAGGATATAAGTCACACAAGGGGCTTTTGCTCATCTTTCTCCCAAGGAAGTGGTTGACAGCAATGAACCATGTATCTTTGGGTCAACAGCACAACTCCTAACTGTTAGGCCATCAGAGCTCCCTTCTGTAAACACTGCAGGCTTGGAATCCTAGGGTGCAGTTCAAATCAATCCTGTCGATTGCCTATGAAACAAGGACTTGGTAGCAATTGGTTCCGTTTTGGAGGAATGACTTACAAGCTGCCTAGGAGATAAATTTTAATTTATCAGTCAGTATATACTGGCTGTTCCTTGGAGGCAAGAATTCTAAAGCTTTGTCTGACATATTTTGGGCATGTTGCAAAGTGAGACCAGTCCTTGGAGAGGGATGTCATGCTTGGAGGGTGAAGGGACCACACAAGAGAGGAAGACCCTTGATGAGATGGATTGATTCAGTGACTGGGATAATGGCAGTAGGTATGTCAGAGATAATGAGATCGTCACAGGACAGGGCAGGGTTTAGGGCTGTTGAACACAGGGTCATTATGATTTGTAGGTGACTTGACAGCACATTAACAACAAAAAACAACATACTATTCTGAATTATTTGAACAATTTTTAGCTGCTATTGTTAAGCATAAATCTTCTTGTATTTATTATTCATTTGAGAAGCTCTATAGATATTTGTCCAATTCTTTTAAAAAGTAAATTCAGTCCACTGCTTGTACAAAAGATTATGCATTTTAAATTTATTGATGCCTTAGTTAATATTTAAGTACCTTTTTGTCTTGAACAAATTATATTTGCATATCAGCCTAATAAAACTCTAAATATTTACATATACCTTAAGACAGATTTCAGCATTAAAACACAGCTATGCCACACCAGATACTCAAGGAAGCATCAAAAGAAGATGAAGGGAATACAGAGTCACTATACTAATAAGTACTAACACTGGAAAAATTTCACTTAGTACCATAAGAACAAGAGCCAGTGATAATAAAGGAAGAAATTGAAGCTGCACTAAAGGCACTGGCAAAAAATAAGGCCCCAGAATCAAAGGGCCAATTCACTTGTTCCAATTAACAGATGCAGACGTTGATGTCCTCATCAGTGATTCTAGGAAATATGTAGGACAGATGTCTGGCCAACTAACTGGAAAAGATCCATATTTATTCCCATTCCCAAGAAAGGTGATCCAAAAGAATGTGAAAAGTATTGAACAATATCATTACTATCACATGCAGGCAAAATACTGCTGGAGATCATTCAAAAATGGCTACAACACTGCATAGACATAGGACTGTCAGAAATTCAAGTAGGATTTAGAAGAGGCTGT